CGCTGGGCCGGCTCCCGGCCCCCCGGGAGCGGGGGGAGGCAGCGAAGGAGCGGGCGTTGTTCGGAGGGCTGCCTGCCCCAGCGCGGCCGCGCTCCCGGGGGCCTCTCCGGTCAGAACGGTTTGCCGGCTCTTCCGCGCCGGAGCGGTTAGTGCCGTGCAGTCGGGGAGCAGGGGCCGCCGAAGGCAGGCGCTGCCGTTCAGAAAAAAGACGGAGGAACGCCAGCTGCGGCACGCGATTGAAAAGTTGCGTTAAGCCGCCCCGTAAAGGACGGGAGCGCGTTCGGCGCCGCCGCCGAACGCCCCAGGGTCTGGGAGAGCGACGCCTTCGGGCGTGCGAGCGCGAACTGCTCCAGCTCCAGGGCCTTGGGTTTTCTAAATGCTGCTGGTTTTTGGGGGGCCGATCAAAGGTTTAAGAAGGTGAGATTTCAACCTGAACCTTGCCCATTCCTATCCTGATAACTGCATTGAGTTTCGTTCAGGTAGGATGGCAGTTGTACGTCCTGAATGTGAGCAGCGTTATCTGCCTTTTACTCAAATTGCATTTCGAAATCGGTATCGAGAGGACCAAAACTGTGCCAGCCCTCTGGATAGCCTTGACTGACCGGCTCTCCTGGCGGTGTTCAGCGACGTATGTGACTTCACCAGCGATGTGTGCTCTTACGTTACTTGTGTGGTCCGGCATCGTTGTACCGGGAAACGTAGAACTGCCTAGACCACTTGCATGTGACTTCTGGCTTTCGAGCCTTGACCAAAATAAATCCAGTACTAGAGTGGTGTTTGCACAGTGCGAGCTTCATCGTAACAACACCTTGCTAGTTCGTCTCCAAGCCTAACGGCAACAGATCCACGCTGCTTAGGATTCTGCTAGATGAGACAGCAGCCACCCCCGTTGTGTCACTGCATGACGGGTCTGGTATTAATCCTTGAGCAATCTCCTCCTTTGAGTCAGGACAGTATGGCAACACCATACATTATGTATTTGGTAATAACTAGACTTAAAGTAACTAGGCTAGAATTATTTCCAAGTCTTTCCTTATTCCAGCCGAATTTGGTCACATCTTGAATTTGAGGCCAAAAGGATTTTAACCTGCAGTCATGAATCTCATCGTGGGAGCTTTTCAGAGAGGTGGTTGCTGTGTTCAAGGTTTGCCTGAAACTTTTGATCTGTGCTTTGAATGACAGTTTAAGGTTCAATTAGTCATATCTGCACGGAGGGAGGCGTCCCTGTGTGCCTGCATAATGATGTGATTCTGGCTTCCGGAAGGAATACAGTAAATATTCCTTGGGATATCTGCTATGATGGATCAAAGCACTAAAATTGTCATGTTCAGATGAAACACAGTAATGACCCAAATATATGCTTAAATCACAAGTTAAGTCACTTGAACTGTACATCCATTTTTCAGCGACTAAAAACCAATATGTTCAAGTAACTGAGGAAACTGTCTGTAAATATGTGTAATTTTTTACATGGGGGATAAAAATGTGAAAATGTAGTACTTTTGAAAGGTGCCAGATAGGTAGTTTGGAGAAGTGAAGTCTCCTATTAATAGAATAGTTAGGCAGTTAAAGTTGTAGCCCACGCTGCCTGGCCCGTGTGGCTCATTCCTTACCTAGAAGGTGAGAGGAGATTCGTTCTCCAGGCTTTTTACTGGCCTTTCCGATGGGTGGACTAGGCATGCTGGTAGTGGGATGAGTGACTTTTATCTGAGCCACCTCTGCAGAGACTGTCCTGCAGGAGACAAGGCTGGCACTGCAGTTGGTGATAGCTGTTTTGGCCGGATACGGAGGGAATGAGATATTCTGTGTTACTTTTCTAATTGCCCGATCCCCATTGCATTCCACTGCCGCCTGTTCTTGGGGCTCCTGCTTTGGCTGTTGATGTCCTGCAGTCCAGGTAAAAGTTGGATTTAGGAGATTGGTGGGGGGGGAATGCTGGCTCTGCTACCGTAGTACTCTTACTTGGTATCATTTCTTTTAATACAACTTATTAACTTATTCACCCTTTTGGCCATGGCTGCATGGCAGTGATGGTTAGGAGCTGTTATGAATTGTCTACACTGATGCGTAAATAGATTTCCCGAGGGATTCTGACTAATTCGGAGTCTGTCAGCGTGTGTGAGTTACTTCTTGGAGTGTTTCTCACCTTGTATGTGTGCAGCTCCTGTCTTCCTTTGTTCTTGGCTTTATTAGAGCTTCCTATAGGTCTGCGTGGTCCTCCATCCGCTTCACTCATCCAGTGATCAGCGTATCACCATCTTGCTCTCTATGCCAAAAATTCAGATGTCCAGAACAGTAGTGCTAGCCTGCTAGAGAGGTTGAGGTTACTAAAGACGATCCTCTGTCACTCTGAGGTCTGTGTGCCTTGTACAGTAGGTCCAGGGTCCTAGCCTGGTGGCAATACCAGACCCTTTGGTCACCGGTGGTGGGGGAAGAAGTCCCCAAATTCAGCCCCACTCGCAATTCTGTCTGTGTTTTTTCCTGGTTGAGAGCTTATCTTTGCAGAGTGTCCTTCCAATTTCTGGCCATGTTCCTGTGTTGTGCGTGGCTTTTATGGGGAAACTGTCGCCTCATTGCAACTTTCCTTTATGCAATTGTAGTAGCTGGTGCCCTTGCAGGATTTGGAAATGCTTGCCTGGCTTCTGGAATCCCTCTGTCACCCTTATCAGACACTGCTTTGGGGATCTCTGCCAGCTCCCTGTGCAATATGCAGGTCCCTGCTGGTTTCCCCCCTTGGCTCAGACTCTTCCTGTCTGTCTGGGCTAAGGCAACCCTGAAAGGATCTCAACGTATTTAAGAATGAGCTACCTTAAGGGCAATAGCTTCTGTCTAGGTGAGTGAGTTGAATCCAGAAGGGTGTCCCGTCTGGTCCTTGCAGATAGCAGGGAAGCTTTGTGAAAGTGTCATGCGGCAGATCAGTCCTGAGTAGCCCTGGGTGGCAGCTCAGAACCTGCCTGGACGCAGAAATTGGGAATCCTTCCACTCGCTGGAAGGGGACTGGCTGCCTCCATCGGTTAGAGGCTCAGAAAACCTGCAAAACTAGAGAGCAAACCCTTTTGCACAGTGTGTGGAACAGTGTATGAAATGCCACTGTCCAGAAAAGCTAAAGCTGTATGTTTTTTGGGAAGACACCAGAGAAGAACAGGGGTGTTGTACAATACCTAAAAACCTGGGGAAGTTTTGGGTTATGTCACCAGCCGCTGTTTTCGGTTGTAATGTCCTAACGTCCAAGTGACTGTTTCCAAGCTTTGTTGTATTTCTCACCTCCCTGCCTCCGTCCTTCAGCAGATGGCTAGGGAATGCGAGAGTGACAGCAGCCATGAGGAACAGCAGCAGATAGACATGGGTCGGCTTGGCTTGCCACTGACCAGAGTCTGTCCCTCCAGCTCCGCTTTGTAAGGCCATTAGATGCTGAGTATGCGGTAATCCAACAGGGAAGTAAATACGACTGCCCTTCCCTGGGGGTGGGGACTCAGTATTTCCAGCTTGGGCAGTTTTTCCTCTTATCTAGATCTGAAATCGTGGTGATCTCACTGTTTGGGGTCTTCATGAGAATGCAAGTCTCAGTGTTTGTTTATTTATTGGGCCCTGCCTCTTGGTTGTTTCTGTCCTCGGAGAGTCAGGCAGATGAGTCCCTTGCTGTTAGCGGTATCTCAGGAAACGCTACGGAAAGCTGAGGCAGCACGAAGTCATCGCAGAAGTCAGCTTGCTCTTTGCTTGGGTCTGATAGAACAGGCTACGGGCCACCTGATGAGGAAGAGGAAGTAGATGAGGCCTTTTACAGACAGCTGGGAGTAGCCTCACGCTCACAGGCCCTCGTTGCAGTTGTGGGCTCCCCAGGGCAAGAGAGACGTGGAGCTCCTGGAGTGAGTCCAGCGGAGGGCTGCTGAGATGAAGAAGGGACGGGGAGCGTCTCTCCTGTGAGCAAAGCTGCGAGAGCTGGGCCTGTTCAGCCTGGAGAAGAGAAGACTGAGGGGGGGATCTGATCAGCGTGTAGAGGTATCCGAAGGGAGGGTGCAGAGATGCCTAAGGTGGACCTTATTTAGCCCTTTGAGAAGTCCTTTTCTGCCCTGCTTGCTGCATCCCCATAGGTTTAGGGAGTACAACATTCGTGTTTACTTTCACAGACGTTACAAAGTGAAGAAACAGGACTTTTTTTTTTTTTTTTCTGCAGCTAGCATCAACTCCAATCTTTTAACAACACCAGAACACCTTCAG